CCCTAGAGCATGCAGCGGACGAGATGGCACGATATTACGACCAGGACCGTGACCCGGCCCCTAAGTATCGAGAGGGTGACCAAGTCTGGCTCAATGCCCACAACTACACGACCGACCGTCCGACTAAAAAACTGGACCACAAGTGGCTTGGCCCCTTTAGGATCACTCAAGTCATCTCCCCAGCCGCCGTTAAGCTCCAGCTCACCGCCCAACAGAAGGGAATCCACCCAGTCGTGTCCGTGATGAACATCAGGCCACACCTCCCGGACGGTATCGCAGAAAGACCCACTGACCCACGCCCAGGCCCAGAACTAGTAGAAGGAGAAGAAGAGTATGAGGTCGAGAAGATATTGAACTCTAAGTGGCTACGCCGGAAACTCTGGTATCTGGTAAAGTTCACTGGCTGGCCGAACTCTGAAAACCAATGGCTCCAGCGGGACCACCTAGCCCATGCCCCCAACCGAATTGAAGAATTTCACAGGACGCACCCCCAAGCCCCAGGGAGAGAAAGGGAGAACCACCTGGCCGCTTCGAGGCGAAGCAGCTTAAGGGGGGGGGTGATGTCAGGGCACACCCGCCTGACCCGGCTCCACCTGGCCCAACCTGACCCGGTACCCTGCTGGTCCACCCTTCCTTACCTCCTCCCCCTTTCCCTTCTTCCCCCCTCATTCTTCCCTCCTCAGTTTCTCCCTATCTTACTTCTTCTTTATTCTCTCTTTATTCTACATGGATGACTTTCTCTGTATCAATGTACCATTGACCCATCTGCAGCGCGCCCACCATGTACCTGGCCCGGGCACCTTGGGCGACTTCCTGCTGTGCCCAGTATGCGTGCTGTAGGCGGGCACAGCCGGTACTGCACAAACGAACCGAATATCGCGATTTCCCCATCCCTGCACATCCCCACTTCACGAAACACATCACACACGTCCTCATATACCATTCCTACTCTTCCATGATTTTTTTCCTATTTTTCCAGACACATTCCCAGTCCCCACAGACCAAATTCCCACGCCCACCCAGCAGCGCGGCCACACTCAGACTGGATTTCACTTATCTCAGCAACCACTGCACCGATTTGGACGATATTGGTACCATTGGAAACGCGCCATTTAGGAGTATTAGGATCCATGATTAGCCGGAGTTGATTGGTGATGGATAGAGTTAGATATTTTTTGGCTGGAAATCATTTATTGCTTTATTGTTTTCTTGATTATTGTTTTCCCTTCCTTTTTCCGATATTGTTTGTTGCCCATATGATCCACCTGAGCACATGGGACTCATCGGATATTTTCCTTCATTTTTATTTGATCATTTCTCATATATACCTGTACATGAGGATGTATCTACCTTTTCCTTTGGACTAGAAACCACCGAGTTTGCCCCTCCCAAGCTAGTAGGGAGTATTACGACGAAGAACATCAGTAAGAAGACCTCTATATCAGTCCTCACCTTAGTGTCACCCAGAGAGGTGGGGTGAGAGGTTGATTAGAGTACACCACGCACCATACCACACTGGACCATACCATATCACCAATTCTCTTTACCCCCTTTTTCCTGACCTGTTGGATACCAATCCAGTCCCCATCTTTTCCTGTTTTCCTAGTGGGTTAGATCCCAAGCCCGCTTACAGCGCCTGCACTGGATGCCCTCAGGATCTCCCACGGAGATACCCGGGTGGTTACGGCTGTGTGCGAGGGTGACGTGGCACCCATCATGTGATCTAAGCCACATGTATATAAACGAACCTGAAGTGGGAACCGAAGAAGTAGCCTTCTTCTCAACTTTCCACTTCAGTCTAAGTGGCCAGGGACCACTGTCCCGCATTGGGCCTGTCAGTACGCACGCCCGATCCACCCCCCGCCAGGCTCTCAGTCCTGGACGCTACACCCAGGCCCCCTCGACCCCAGACGAGTCCCTGACACAAAATTGCCAAGGAAAGTAGGAATACAGACAGGTGTTATAACTGTGGTGAAGGAGAGAATGAAGGAAGGTCAGTTGGGAGGTTCAAACGAGACCACCACCAAGCTGTTCCCTGGTTCTTTAGTTAGGATGGGGAAGTGTACTAGTAATATTTGTTGTAATTATAGTACCAATCTGAGTGTTTTGGCTAATTATATTTTATGGGTTAGTCTAAAAGTTTCTGAGAATTGACTTACAGATAAACAAAGCCCTGCGGAGCTGTTCCTCTATCGTAATTTCTCAATTTGTCTGGGTGTAATTCTGTGTAGGATCATTTAATTTGGATTTTAACTTGAATTAAATCTTTTACTTGGTGAATTTTCAAAGATTCTACTCAGTTAATGGGTTTTGATCGTGTCTGAAGTGTTCCTTGACCTTGTCTTATTTTTATCTTATTTTTATTGCTTGTTTTAACGGTAGCAAAATAACTGTTCTGTGTTTACACTTTGAAATCTGGAGTGTTAACCAGCTCTCCTGTTGAAATATTTACTTAATATTCCCCTCCCTATTTGCTGCCATTTACTACAGTGGCAATCTTAACTGTATATCACTTTTTTGCACTGGAGTGACAACCAGAAATGCTTGAGAAAAATAATACTCTATTTTCTTACTTCTCTGGGGGGGGGGGGGGCAAAAAGTCGCAGAAGGGTCTCCCTTTTATACTCCTTGGGTTACCTTCCTTTTTCATGCTCTACCTTGTATTTACAGGATTTATTTACAGTGTATTTTCCTCAAACTGAATAAAAATGAATTTTTCATGCTATAGTTCTACTGTGCTCAGACTGCGCCTAGAATCCTTATTGTCCTTCCTCACCTAAGCTATTTTAATGGTTTAATTAGAACTTGACTGTGCTGCATTTGTTGCAGTTTTCTATTTCAAATTCCTCTTATTTACCATTTAGTTTGCTATGACTCGGTCATTCTGAATTCAAACTTCGCTTTACTATGCATATGGCTGCGCTGAGACCTTCAGCTGATTTATTCTATTTTTATTCAGTGACATTTAGTTGAAATGAGACTTGAAATGATAAAATGAGTGAATTGTTCAGGTTTAGAATCGAAAGAAAAAGTTGCTAGTAGTTAAGAATTGATCAAACGAATGTGTTATAGCTCTTCGCTTCATTAGTATATCGTTCCCTAAAATTCCCACCATGGTCCATCGTAGTTTAGTGGATTTCGTGGATTTCATCCATTTCCCTTTATTCCCGTTTGTATTATCGCATCCCAGTCCTTTGTATGTATTGTTTGTTGTTATAATAGGTCATCCTCGAAGATATCATATTTTTATGTATTTTATTTGGGGCTCAGGACCTCTAGAAGTTGTCTTCCCACTGTCAGGGACTGCATGTCAGTTCACGACGATGGAGATGTTCCCGAGAATCCTAGTCGTTGTTAACGCTGAGGCGCCACCCTCAGTGGAGATAGAAGTTATATACATGGGTACCACTACCCACTAGAGCGTGGCTACAATGAGATAAGAGATAGCCGATAGAATGACAACATGAAAAGATAAGTATTCATTCAGATAATCGTAAGTGAGGCATGGGAAGGGGGTGACATGTGGATGGAAGAAAGGAAGTGGGAGCTAAGCGAGATTACCTGTGTTCTTCAGATCTCTCTGGATCGTCTTACGGCAACTCCCTTCCGGCATAGGGAGTCAGGGTAGCTGGTTAGGCCATGCCCTGACACCCATGCGTATTCAGGTTACTAACTTCATGTCCTTGTATCTCATTCACTTCTGAATGGTTTTCCACGTTCTCAGCTTCATAAATCTTCATTTATTCCCACCTTTCCAATGGTACTAAAGTTGTACTCTAACTCTCGGTATTTGTGAAGTTAGCAAAAGTTCACACACACATTCAGTAATCACATGTGTTGTTCCTGTACTCGTTCATATGCAGGCGCCGTTTCTGTTTAATTGTTCGGAATTTACTGTATGTGTGGGTGTTTGTATCCTCAATATGGGCTTCCATGATTTATTTCAGATTTTTCCCTCATGTTCTAAGGTGTTTTTGTACTTTCCATGCTTTGTTTTGACCGGGGTCTTCCTTATTTGGACAGAAATTGGTCTTCGCGATCTGCCGAAGTGCAGATCTCGGTTCTGACGGCCGGTTCCCTTTGCATCACCACCCTCACATGTCTTTAAGCATGATGCAGATTTCTATATTCCCATCGTTGGTCCAACTTCACAACAGCTGGACTGTTTGGGCTGAAACTTTGCATAACGATAATTTCTAATTTATGATATTTCCCATGTAAATTTCGTTATGTGTTTCAAATATGGATCTTGTGTGAATGTTGTCTCTTCCCTGAGCCATGACTTCGATGTTGCTCATCCCGTTAATGAATATCTCATTGATGCGTGATCCTTTTATTATGAAAATTTGGGTGAATTAAGAGTATATCCCTTCCTTTCTAATGGGCCCTCAAGTTCGTCTCGGTTGTTACTGGTTGTTCTTCACGCTTTCCTTTTGTATGTTGTCCTCATTTTCCGTGAATTTCGGTCATATCTCCGTCATCTATGGGTAGTTTTCTTTGAAATTACTTTCATTGGGTCCGTTTAAAAAACATCTACGTTCCCTATTATAAACACGACTTTGAATTTTGCATTGGTTCCTAAGGAATCTTTGTTCCGTGGTACTTCCAACCTCAGCTACATGTGCGGGCATGGGAAAGTAGTTTCCATGGAGGTTCTCTGGTTGGTTTTATAGTCAAATCTTGCTCGATTGTCCTAGTTCCTTGTTCAATATTCGCTATAAATTCCCCTGAGCATTCCATCTTGTTGGTGCTAAGCTTGAAGTATTTTTATTAATTTTCTTTCTTCCAATTTATTGTATGTAGTCGTAATAATTCGTAAAAATTCGTTAAAATTCAGGTTCTTCTATTTTCTGATATCAACTTGACATATGGGTTTTTTGTGGTTTATCTGACATATTTCCATAATGAGTTTCCATAGGGTGACCATTATTTCTCCTACACTGTACATGCTGAGTGGCTTGGAAATGTTCATCAAGATCGATAGGGCTGTGGGACAGTGTTCATGCCAAGCTGATTCGGTCCAACTCCTTCTTTACAGCATCCAATGCTTCCAAATGTGCTTGCGCTGACCATTCAGCTTTGAGAAGTCTCGTGAACTTTTTCATTCCAGCTTGGTCATTGTCTAGACCTTAACCAGCATAGGTCCACAGTGAACACAGGATTGGAAACAGACATACAAGTTTGCTCAGAGAGCTGCAAAGTCCTAGTCTTTTGCTCTTCCCACTGGGATTGAAGGAAAGGAGTTGTGAATCCCCTGTCACTCTCCAAATCTTTAAGAAGATCCATCAGAAGCACCTCCTCATGGAGAATGGTGGCCAGTTTGGACCTTGCCAATGAAGCAAGACGGTCTCGGCCACAGATCGCAATCTTCTTGATTTTGTGGTCAATAGTTGTGATTCGTTTAGTTTGGGGAAAACCTTGGATAAGATAGGGTTGTCGAACAAACAGTGTTTGGCCTGGTGAGACTCACACTCATTATGCATTCAGGCACTATTGTATCAACAATTAAGGACCATAGGCGCTCATTTCCTTCCCCATTTGACTTTCTGAACCCATTTCATTTCCAGGGATGAAATGCAATTTGACAACAGAATTGATGTGCATAGGCATGGAAGACTGAAACAGCAATGCTCAATCTAGGAGCGATTTCAGGAATGAGATTGTACTTTGTTTGTATATCAAGAGGTTGTACCTGAATGCTATGCAAAGTCATACCTTGGCAATTGATCAATCAAGGACACATCCAACATCATACATTAATCCAATAGTGGCATTTGAGGGTACTTGGCAGTTGAGTGCAAGGAGCATGGCAATTGAAAGTGCTGCTGTTCACCTGGAGTGCACACATTGCAGAGGAAAAGGGGGATATCATGATGGTACACAGTTGCCATCAGACCCTTTGAACAGAATGTATCTGTCAAAACCCAAGAAACGATCTGAGTGCGGATGGGGCTCAACTAGAGGGGGTTCTGAGAGCTCTGGTAGTAAACTGGAGCTTCTCCAGGAAGCCCGAGTCTGCTGGGTGTTACAAGAGGCTCTAAGAAGGACACGGCCTCAGCAACTCAGAGGGAGCGCTGTGCCTCCGTTACATCTCTAGTTAGTCCTTAATTTCAGATGTCTGAGGTATCTTGTAGGAGGGGGTCACCAATCACTCATAGGGGGACTTGGGGTAAGTTTTAGTTGAGATTAGAACTGAGGTACAATGGGTTCTAATCTACAGGTATATATAGAGGGAGGAGGAGAAGGACTTTAGTCAAAGTCCAAGTGATACTGAAAGGTAACAAAAGGTTCTGAATGATACCAAAAAGTATCGAAAGGTTCCAAACGATATCTTTAATGGGGAACTGAGGTGTTGGGTCAAGGAGGGTGGAGTAGAAGGCCGGAGGGTAAATGGGAACGAGAAATGGGTAAGGGGAAGTTAGCCGACTGAATGGAAAGAAGACAACAGTCATACTATAAATGGAGGATGACTAATTTAAGATGACGAGAGCAGGGTCACCAGAGGATGAGGGTAGCTCCGAAGCCGGAGTTACATATCCGAGAAATGTTGGGTGACTCCACTAAATGAAATGGAAAGAGGAAGGGTTTAGAAGTATATAATAAGATGTTGGAGGTCCGTTGGGAGGTTGGAGCAAATCCGGAGGTTCCGACTGTTCCAACTCGGGACCAAGCTTCTGGGATGGAGATGGCCAAGGACAAATGTGCCAAAGTCCAGGCCAGAGCTGAGACAGTTGGGATGGAGGTGACGTTGGGGAGTAGGGAGGTCTGGTGTAGGGAATGATGAGGTTGTTAGGAAGGTGTAGTGGGGGTGGGAGAGTGCGGGGTCGGGATTCTGGGATATGACAGTATCCATTTTTGAGGCAGTCCATTTTCCATGTTTTGTGGCTCTGTGTGATTCTTCACATTCATCAATAGCACCATCCGGTACAAGGGATGAGGGATGAGATTCTTCCAAACAACCTCTAGATGCAGCTCATGCATCAGAGACATGGAGGGCAGCTTCCTCAATTTCAGCATCAGTGAGGAATGTACAGGTTTCATTCCAGGGAAGGTGTCAGGGCACACCTGCCTGACCCAGCTCCACCCGGCCCCACCTCACTCGGTGCCCCACCATCCATTCCTCCCAACCTCCCCCCTTTCTCCTCCTTCCCCTCTCCTCACCTCTCTTGTCTTTCTCCTTTCTTCTCCTGTCTTTCTTCTTCCTTCTCTTGTCTTTCTTCTTTCTTCTTTTCTTATTACATGGATGACTTCCCTTGTATCAATGTACCATTGACCTGGCTACAGTGCAACATGCCCAGACCCGGACACACCGGATGACCTCCCATGTACCGGATGCCCCTGGGACCTCTTGAGGAGGTACCCAGATGGATGTGGCTGTGTGCATTGTAATGGGTCTATCCAACTAGACTCAAGACAGGAAGGAGGGGGGATAGGAATCTCACTGAGGGTCAGGTCTGAATGGGTATATTGGGTCCTCCAGAGTAAGGTGCTGATACTCTCTACCAAACTGTACAGTGGGTCATGGAAGAGTCCAATAAAACAAATAAGGAAAGAGCATTACATGACAATAAGGAAGTGGAAACAATGGGCTCTAGACACCAGAAATGGAATCAGAAAAATAAGGAAAAATAGGAAATGTGTGTAAGGAGTGTGAGGTGCTTGCTGAGGGTAGTAGAATCGTGGGATTTGGCTCATTTATGGTACACTGGCAAATCCCTGTTACAGCATAGATGACATGGCACTTCCCATGTGGCCTTAACCACATGTATATAAACACAGCCTAAGTGGGGACTGAGAAGCAACCTTCTTCTCACACTTACCACTTTAGCCTAAGTGGCCAGGGACACCTGCCTGCACCAGGCCTGTTGCTACGTGCACCCACATCACACCCTACCGGGCCCTCAGCCCCAGGGGATATACCCAGACACTCTCGACCCCAGATCAGTCCCTGACAGAAGGACCATGTCTTCTCCAACAAACATGTACTGCCTATGTTATTACCATCCATAGCGACGATGACATCAGGACATCTAGGGAAACACTTAGTATACCTGTTCTCAAAGGACATCCATGAGAAGACTAACTCGTTGGCTGAACTACCCCATATCAAACCTCCAAAACATTGGGGGCATCTCACATGGAGGTATGGGCTGGCAGTGGTGTCAGATGGGTTGTGAATGAGCCTTGCTTGCTCAGGGACCATTGATGCGATGGAAGGTCCTGTGACATCTTTGTGAAGGTTGGGATGCTGTGGTCAACAAACACCATGCCATGGGACGTAGCAACCAAAGGATCTCCATTGTGAGCAGGAATGGCATGGATGGACCCGGCGGACTCAGCCAGCACGGAACGCCATTGTGGTGCATCGAGCACCACAGGGGATGAGGGATGGAGGAATTCTCTCTCCATTTCAACATCTACTAAATCACATAAGGCCTGGAACCAAGTGATCACCTCACTAAACAACTGGAGAAAAGGGTCCTATATGAATGCCAGATCATGAACGTACCAATTCCTGACAAATAACAAATGAATATCACATTGTGGGTGAACTCATAGCTGTTCTCTTGTAACATGGAAAACAAAGCGGCATGAAAGGAGGCAGCCAGGGTATACAAATCCACATGTAAGGCTGAATACAGTGAAAGGACATCGAAATGGAAGGCAACTGGAGGCATTACAGGTGACCCCGGAAAGTAGCCAGACTGGATGATGCTAAGTGGGAGAGTATTAGACGGACATTCACAATATTTGAATGTCCACCACATGGCACCTGGCCCAGGGTCATTGGGTCATTGTTTGTTAAGCGAGATCAGAACGGAAACATACCTGAGAATGCGATCATCATGAGTGAATGAAACCGGGGAGACACATTGCAGTGAGAGCACAGCAATACTGCCGGTGTTTGTAGTTTTCTGTTTCTGTCAAATGATGTCTCGCTGGGGGTGGCAAGGGGCATGCATCCTGCCTTCTTTTCCCCTACTTCTAGATAGATTTCCAGTGCATTGTGTATTATATTGTGGTGCCAATGGAACCATGCAGCTTGCTTTTGCAGATTTCGTAATGCTCTCTTGGCCCATTTTTGGGAAGCTGACCACGAAGGTGTAGGGGGCAAGGTGGAGTCTGGGTTTGAAAGAGTGGGTTCTGCAATACCTTCCAGCCAACCTTGAGGTGATGCCTCCCATTTCAGTGATTCCTTTTTTAGAGCCGGCATTGAAGGGGGAGTCGAAACATTGCTGGCATCTGCTGACATTGCATTTCCTACATGATCATGGCGATTTGGCACTGGCCACCAATCCCTGGATGCGATTCCAGGCCCCCCAGCATTGCATCATCACGGTGCCGCTGGCATTTGCTATCTCAACGCATCATGATGGCTGGGGAATGGGGACTTCAGCAGTTGGAACGCGCTCATGTCCTTTCTTTTTGGATTCAGGTGCAGACTGGCCACCAAGGAGATCCACCCATTTTTTGGGTTTGCTTAAATTATATGGGTGATACTTTTTTACAGGAGAGGTAGTAAGGTGAGGAATTACAGGCTTATGCCTCGGCATGGTATGTAGCCGTTAAGAGATAGGGTGAACAGAAAAGAACAGGATAGGCTCTTCTCAACAAGTATGCAGCAGTTGCACAGCTAGTCTAAGATATACTCAGTCAGCTGCATATTCAGTCAGTGTGTGTATCTGTGGCACATACCAATAGGCAAACAGGGCAATTGGTGGTAGTGGAGCAGTGGTATGGCACTGGAACTATCAAATATGCAGTGGTGCACATGTCGGTCGGATGGGAGCCCCAGTCGAATTGTACCATTTCTCTCAGCACTTGGGTGCCAGATGGGGTGCATGTAGTATCCAGTGTTAGAGACCAGATTGAGACAAAGGAGTTGTCTCCGTGGCAGAGGGCTTCGGCCTCAGCAACTCAGGCCAGGAGCGCTGTGCCAAGTTACACGTCTGTGCCCTAATTTACTTACTGGCAACGAGAACTGAAGGGGGATCAACTCTAGTCGATTTTATCACTGAAGCATAACCTATGTACAAGTTAGGTATATATAGTTACAGCGAGGGTGGGCCCATGAATAGCGGGACCGAGTGGAGTGGAGCTAATGGGGATAGATGTTAGCTGACTGAATATTACCGACAAGTCGGGTTGCAGGTTTAACGGAATGACAGGTTATGACCCACAAGTGGAAAGGAGGGATAGGCCTGAAGGTAGACTTGCAGGGCAAGCAAGTGAATTGCCCAGCAGAGGCAGGAATGTGCTAGCAGACATCAGAGCTGTCCAGAGAGCTTCGGGGCTCCATACTTAGGGAGGCGTAGGTAATATATTGAATTGGAGAGGTGGTGACCATCGGGGGGGTCGGAGGTGATTGCGGAAACCGGAGGCTCCGAGGTTAGTGGCGGAGGAGCAGAGGTAATCTGGAGGAGCGGAGGTGGTTGAGGGTGATGGCCATGGATGGATATGACAGTATCCCCTTCTTAGGCCTGAACCCTTGAAGGCCTAGAATTAGTAAGGTGAGGGGAGCTGTACTTACAGAAGAGAGAAAAAATGAAAATGGAAATGGAAATGAGGGGTTGGAGGGAAAGGAGAGATGGGAGAGGAGTCGAAGTTCC